CTGAAGGCGGAGAATCTGGAGCCACGTCGAATCACGTTTAAACGAACCTTCTAGCCCATGCAATTTTAGAAAAAAATGAAAAAAAGTGAGTCAAAAACGTGATTGCGTTACGTTTGGACAAGCTGTATACTCAGTGTGGATCAAGTTATAGACAGAATAAATCTCGCAGGACATTTTTGATATAACATGCGCTTTTCTCAGAAACGAAGTGCTTCTGAAAGCTCATTTTTTTTATCACATACTAATCGTCCAAGAAGGAAAAAAGGGTAAAATTTTGACCGCAAACGGATCATTCGTCATCGAGTTATAGACAAAACAATTTTTGAAATCTCGCAGGACATTTTGTGTGAAAACAACATTGTATAGTATATTTGAAACACGATTTTTGTTGAGATATAAAGACTTAGAAAAATACCTTTTTTAGCAAAATGTAAAGCTACTCTTGCTCTATTTTTCTGCCTATTTGAAAACTTTTTATAGCATTTGTATCGTATGAAGACCGTCTCGAAGTCTCGCAGGGCAAAATTTTGAAAGTGTCTGTAACAGCAGTTTTTCCTCGAGCTTTTATGGAAAACTTAATTTTACTTGAAATCAAAGTACATAATTTGAAAGCCCTTTTTCAGGCCACAAATTCCATTAAAGTATAATTCAGTAATCTTTAAGTAGGATGGAGGCAAACTCCCGTTTCTTTCGTGAGGCGGCGCCAAAATCACTCTGTTTTGGCCTTGTTTCGTTCATATCTCGATAACTAAATGAGATCGAAACTGTTTTTCTTCAGTACGGAATAACCATCTTTAAAAGAACAAACCAAAAAAAAAGTATTAAGTTTTGTTCAGTAGAACGACTTTTGTAAGCAAAACAATCGGTGAATAGCAACGGTACAATGTCAATGCAATTCACTCATATATATGTTAGCGTCCAATGTAATATTGACCAAGGTCAAAATCAAATTCCACTTTGAGCTAGTCCAAAGTAAAATATAATAAAAAGTGTCATTCCAGTATCACATTGGACTGAAAACAACAGGCTTATCTAAGATTGGACTAGTCTAAAGTACAATTTAGAATTAATCAGGCCAATGTGATATTGACCTAGACTAATGTGCAATTAGAATGATAATTCACGCATAATCGAAAGAATTGATCATTTGTAATGGAAAATTGCTTGTCCACGCTATGCACGATGTTGTGAATCAATACCTGTGTTTCTACCAGCCTTACCTTGCTTTAACATGTTCATTATGTCTTTACACATAGCCTTTGTTATAACCCATTTCCCACGCCTCTTTCGCGTAATACTCTGTAAATCACTGAAACAAAATTCAAGTTTGGTCAAAGGGTCAGAAAAATAGTTTTCTTTTACGAACAATTGAAGATACCCCTAAAATCTTTATTCTGAAGAACAGAAATCTTATCTTAGAGGAAGCTTATCTATTTTATGGGACTATAGCTGTTAGTTCCCGTGAATTTAATTGAATCATGTTCTCGAAGAAAAGTCTGAGCAAAACATGTGAAATCAGTATCCTAATGGGCACAAAAAATCTCTTTTTGCAAGGTACTTTCTGTAGACTCAAGCCGGGTCTTTGCAGACGACAGTAATTCCATCAATTAGACCGAAGTTAAGTCAAATGTTAAGGCATTTAGAAGAGGAGAGACAGAGAGTGTGCAACAGAATTCTTCAGCATTCGATTGACCATAAGCAACCTATCAATTATAGTAAAACCATTTTTCAGATATTTCACTCCCAGATTAAGGGACCTGCTACTTCCTTGTCAATGGCGGGCCTTAAGTTAGAGCAAGTCATAACTTTAAAGTATCTGGGTTATAGTTGCTCAGATCACCTGTCTCTAAAATCCAATCTAAACGATGCAGTAGACAAAATTCAAAAATCTTTTGTTAAGTTAAGGTGGTTATCAAATTGTAATGAGGGTTCAAGTAAGTTAAAGCGGCAGGGTTTTTTCACATATGCATTTCCGTTTTTCTCGTGGCTCTTTCCTTCCAGTTTATACCTTTTTACCGTGCACCCCGTCGAATTACTAAATAGGAAGTTCGGAGTGGGACTTCGCCTTGTGCATAGATGTCATTACGCCGATGTCGAAGAACTTTTTGACCTATACGAGAAGCAGTTAGATTACTGTGCCGTTGATTATTTAAAAGGAATTATTGCGTTTCTATGATTCTGATTTGTGCAACTCTCTATCCTAGAAAATGTATTTTATTGGGACTACTATCACCTTGCTAAGAGATTGAAAATAGGACACTACTTTTCTACCAAACGTGTCATAAAGCAAAGAAAGACTCATGAGTCCGTGCTGATATCATGGCTAGCTTTTGTCGCAGATAAAAAAGGAAAGTAACAGGAAGAAGTTATTTCGATCTTGTTCATTTTTTCTCTGTATTGTGTAAAATTTAAATATGCATAACTCTGTTTTAATTTACCTTTTCTTTTTGATAGTACTTTGATAGTACTGACAAAGCAGACTTCTGTTATAATTTTTGACCACGCTAAGTTTCAGTTTGGGAAAACACTACGTTGCCCCATTTAAATTCTGTTCTATACTGTCTTGCTGATTCACAAAATCACACGTTTCTATATTTATTTTCAGATTAATCAATCTGACGGAACATGCACATGAGTTTTAATTTTGTCGTGATGGTTATCTATCAGAGTTTTGGATTGTTCAAGTTGTGTTTTTGACGACTGAATAAGATTTTCAATTAAGATAGATGGTACATGATCTGTTGATTTACTTGCACAGGGAAGAGGTGTAGGTTGTCCACGTGATACTTCAGTAATAATAATGAGTATTAAAACGCGAAATATATAAAAAATCATTTTCAGAATCATAAACTAGAAAAAATACAAGTTAGTGCTTTAACAATTACTGTACGACCCGTTATATAGAAAAAATAAAACAAGAAATAGTTATGAGTTATGATGGAGAGTGGAGATAGAAAAATTTTAAAAACAATGCGCTGCTAGTTATTTTATTTATTTAATCGAAACGTTTTGTTTCATCTATGTATGTAGTAACCTCAGTTAGAATGCTGCGCATAACATCATCATCAAAATTCAATAGTAATACGTCTACACTGAGGTCGGAGAGAAAGTTCAATTTATTACGCAACACTGTACGGTCAGAAACGTATAACTGACATTTCAATAAATAATGGTCTCTATCTTCAATGCTTTTACCACAAGCACAGCCCGGGCTATCAACGCAATTACGTCTATACAAATAACAATTTAAAGGAGAAAAACCCGATTTTAAGCGCATGAAGTTGATTTCGGCTTTTCTACTAGGAAAACGTAACTGCTTAGGAAACGAAGGCTTAGTTAAAAAAACATTAATCAGGAGTTCGCGCAATTTTGCAATTTTTAGAGTAAGAACATTAGGTTGTTTTCCTATCCATTCATTCCAATCACATGCAACTAAGCAGAAAAAGTCGTTTGGAACCGGATCAACAGGTTCAACGATAGAACTTGATTACTACGCAAGACGTACCTGGTATTTTGTGGACGATACTGTAAATGATATAAATATAGAATCTAGAAGCATAATTAATATAGTTCAAAACACGAGTAATTGTTGCACATATATTTTCTTTTGTTAAACGTAATACCTCCGTTTCTATATCCATCGTAATGTTTGAGTAGATTATTTGTACTGTAAGTGGTATAGTGGTTAAACATTCAACACATATTTGTAATAGTAACATTGTTGTCACTTGTTTTTCAATACGTTGACGAATATCAACACCCCGTTTACTAATGA